GGGGGGAGTATCGAAGCCCAAACGCTTCGATACTTACCCCAGATACCAGAACTTCCGGTCAGTAGAAGATTTCCTCTGACCGGTAGTGCCGCAAGGGAACATGGAGATGGCTTCCTGGCCATAAGGAAGCCGGGCAGCAGGTAATGACTCGGCTCCATGCTGTTTGGCCGGCTCCATGCTGATTGGCCTGGGAAGCCGGCTTCCTGGCCAAACAACATGGAGTCGGGTGGCGGGTAATGACACGCATCCCGGCTTCCTGATTGCACCGGAAGACGGCTCCATACTAGTGGAAGTACTGATATCGGTACTCAGTATCAGTGAGTTCCAAAAGATAAATATCGGTACTCGTACTTGATACTGAAAAATCAGTATCATTGCATCCCTAGTTATATGGAAAGCACAAATACCTATAGTGAGTGACTTAACTTATATATTAGTCCCTGACCCTGTACCAGTCAGATATTAGCATCTGTCCTCTAGCTTGCCCTAGAAAACGCCATCTGTAATTTTGTTACTCTATTCTAATGTTATATAGATATTCTAATGTAACAGTTGTCTTTCTCTGTTTTCCGCTCCCGCAGGTTTGCAGCTCTTCACGTCAGCATGAATGATGGTTTAAGCTTCATTTCAAGCTCTGTCATCATCACCAGTACACACTGTGTAAGTCTGGAACTCATATCCTTGTATACTTATCATGAAGAATAAAACAATTAGGAAAGCTGCTTGATGTGTTATGATCAAATATTTGAGTTAAGGTCTCTATAGGATGCTAGACAGCGCCAAGAGTAGGCACGCTAGAAGTCCCTGTGACAGTGGAAGAATTAGCCACGCTACTTTCCACCGAGGGTGGCTTTTTTTGTTGTCTTTTTATTTTGTGACACATCTGGAAACAAGGAACGGAGCTTCAGCTGCAGCAAGTTAGCTGTGACTGCAAACTTTATTTTCAAAGCTACTGCCAGAAAAGATTTTGAGAGTTTTGGAAGAGCTGAACTTAACCCCTTTGACGCAGTGCAGGATTAAAGTTTCAGATATTTAATTATGCAAATATTCAAGCAGCACTTAGGGCCCCATTCACACCTGGATGTTTTGTGGCTCTAATGCCTACAATGCCTACATGTGCTACAATGCTCAGCAGGAGCAATACCATTGTTTTTAATGGCCCCTGTTCACATGTGAGCGTTCTGTTGCTTGTAGCAAAACGTCTGTAGCTCCAACAATCACATGAGTCAAGCATTTTGGCCCTAGTAGACTTCAATCTAAGCACATGAAAAATGACCCAAGAAGAAGATAGGCCACCTCACTTCAAAATTCTTAATCAATACATCTTTACTGATATATAATAGTGATGATGTGATACTATGATTATGCATCAATAAAGGTATATTGATTAAAGGAGAACTATGGGGTCAGTGTTTTTCCCCATAGTTCTCCTTGGGGTAACGGGAGGACACAAACTAGCGTCCTCCCATTACCCTAAGCTCAGTATACCGCGAGCTACAGCTTGCGGTATACTGAGACGCCGCACCTGGAGCGGATCCCGACTTAGATGACGGGATCCGCCCAGCTGCGTGAGTGACAGCTGGCTCTGCCTATCTAGAGGCAGAGCCAGCTGTACCCGTCCGTTCCGCCAGTCAGCGCTGGCAGATCGGAGCGGGGAGAGGGGAATCCAGCCCCTCCCCCTGTCACGGCAGAGAGCCGTGACAGGATCGAGAGGTGAGGTAACCCGGTATGTGTTCTCTCACCTCCCGATCTACTGAGCCGACCTGTGACAGTCTCATTGTCACAGGTCGGCTTAGAACTATGAGGTGAGTGGAAATCACTCATGTCATAGTTCTCCTTTAAGGATTTTGAAGTGCCAGTGACTTATCTTCTTCTTGTATTGCACGGAGCCACCCGTTTGTCACTGCAGCACCCATTACCTTCCAGGGACTTATCGGTCAGGTGTGCAATGGGTTATGGACAATAATCTGAAAACACACGTGTAATGCAGGTTTTTCAAGTGTTTTATGCCTAGTAGTTAGCTTTTCAATGGATACAAATTCTAACAAAAGGCTTATGTCTGAATTGCACATATAAACGCCTTCACAAAAACTCAAAGCCCAAAAAAACACCCACAAATGATCCGCCTTAAGGACCTATTCACACTATGCATTGCTGTAACATGAAAATGGCACCCCAAAGATCATGCATATAGTTCACTATAATCAGGGCCAGATTTACTCTCTCTGCTGCCCCAAGGCCAGGTTTGTCAATGCGGACCCCCACACCCGCCAAACCTCAATGGAGAATGGCAAACCTGCAAGCTGCATACAAGTGATCTCGGCAACATCGCAGAGATCACTTGTACATAACAATCGGTGGCTTCGCCGCTGTACATTTAGCTCTGCTTGCCCAAAGCAAGGCTAAATGTAGAAAACAACTACCCGCCCCGCACCCAGAAGTGCATGTCCTGGGCATCAGGAAATATGAATTCCCCACCCCTGCTGCCCCTCTACTCCCTGCTGCCCCGAGGCCGGGCTTTGGTTGGCCTTGTGGGAAATCCGGCCCTGACTGTAATAGAGAAGCAAGATGTCACCAGCACACCGGAATAATAGGTCAAACAAATGTCTTTTATTGGCGCATATTGTCACAGTGATAGCGACGTTATGGGGGCCGCTCACGGTCCCCTTCATCAGGCTCAGTAGACACAGTAGCCTTTAGCCCCCTGTAGCCCCCTTTAGAGCCAGGGGCCACAGACTTCTCCTATTGTAAACCTCGTAGTTTGCTATATTGTAGTTGTAACTGGAGTCTCTTACTATGTCCACTTATCGCAGAAAGTTTGGAGTTTGAGGGATACGCTTTATTGTGTAACCTAAGTTATTAAAGATGCAAACTTTCAGGATTCCTTAGATCCATCTTCTTCAGGCTAATTAATAACTTACTGTAGTTTAGCCAAGAAAAGATATTACTTAAACTCCAAACTCTCTGCACTGATCAGTGGCTAGTACAAAACTCTAATGTCCATTTACCTAAAAACTGAACACAAGTTTCCTGCAGAGGTTATAGTGTTAAAACATCCATGACTCTGGACCACGCAATAAAAGACAATCTTGCCGTCTCCTACAGTTTACATTTCCTTAATCTGTTTTTTCATGTGGTCTTTCATTCTTTTTCCATTTAAAAAGACACTGACGTTGCAATACGTGTGCATAATATAAGATTTATATTTTACATGATGAAACATTGTTAGAAAACTCATTATAATGAGACAGAGGTAACAATACTAAGCAAAAGTTGGTGCATTTACAGCACATCTTGAAGTGATAAATGGAGACAGGCGTCTAGATGTAGAGTCCTATGACCTGAGCTGAGGTCTAAGTGTGCAGTGCATGCTGTGCTCTGTCAGGAATATAGAAGAGGTGCAGACCTGCGTTGCAGCTATTTACTGTTATGCGGTACGCACATCCAACATATCTCTGACACAGTCTAGCTAGTTGGGTGTCTGTTCATTTCAACACAAACAGGGATGGATGACACCAACAGTGTTTGGATGATATTATTCACAGCATCTAGGGGTTATAATAAATACTCTATCGGAGTTATTTTTAAATGAGGTGCTGACGATATAATTATAGGGTGTATATTGGAATTAGAGGGTTAAATTTGCTGGAAGTAACTGAGTCTGAATTTCTATAAACAGGCACGAAAAACAATCCCTCGAATGCACAGAGTATTGTAGACATTCATAAGAAAACTGTCTAAAGTTAGTGTGAGAAATGTCACAACTAAGGACAGATTCATATACCTGTCAGAATGTGCATGAATATGTTGCATGGAGGCATGTGGGGGGTGACACTGAGGCTGGAGTGTCCATATTGAACACTCCATCCTCAGTGACTGTTCAGCCCCTTGGGCCACGCAGCATCATTGATTGCTAGGATGCTGTTGGTTGCATAGCATCATTGGTTGCTAGAAGCATCTGTGCTCCCAACAGCATCCTAGCAATCAATTATTCTGTGCTTCTGACAGCATCCTAGCAACCAAGGACTCTGTTCCCAACAGTGTCCTAGCAACCAGTAACTGGTGAGGGTGGAGGGAATGACACATGCAAACATGCCCTACACTGCGTGTCCACTCTAAGCACTCTGGCATGTCTCCATATACCAACTTAGAGATGGTCTTAATTACCTCCAGTTTCCTTATCTACAAACTGGTGGTAGTTCTTTTTGAATTTGTGCAGCCGACATTGTCCTAACAACCCATGAAGCTGTTCAGCTGAAAACATTCTAGCAACCTATGACTCTGTGTTCCCTACAGCATCCTAGCAACCAATAGCACTGTGCACCCAACAGCATCCTAGCAACCAGTCATAGGTGGGGGGAGGGGGAAGCACATGCAAACATGCCCTGCCCTATGGCCCCACCCTGAGCACTCTAACCTATCTCTGTACAACAACTTAGAGTTGGTCTTCATTAACTGACTGTTGAGGCCCAAATAAGTGAAAGTGGCACAAATAAGGACCTCCTGAATCTGTAGCAATAGGTTTATTTACCCAAGTCAAGTTTAGTACTTGTAGGGTTATTTAAGCCCAGTGTTAGCCAAAATGTTTTATTTTGTTTTGGTTAGAATGAGAAAGGGTTATGCTTTTAATTGTTGTTAATTTTCCTATTGAGGAGATTTGTCTTCACTTCCTTTGCATGAGAGGAATTGATGGGAAATCTGTCCAAAAGGGACACAAACAGGCAAAAGACATTTTTCGCAGAGCAGGGAAGTTGTAAGGATCTGGATCTGAACCCGGGACCGCTGCTGTATCTGGCGGTGGTTCTTCCCGCTGAGACACCTGGAACCTTGGATATCTCCTTGCCTGATCTCTGTGGAATCCTTAGTTGAACCCAGTTTTCTGGTGACCTTCCTGTTTTCCAGATCTTTCTGCTCCTGACAATATCTTGCTTCCAGCTCCTACTATAATACAAATTCCCTCATACTGCTATCCATGTACCAACCTTTGGCTGCTGATTCACTGACAATGCTTATCATCTCCTGCTTCAAAACTGAGACCTTTGGCTACTGACCTTGGCTTGATCTCTAACCACACTTCTGCCTGCTCCTATACTACTACTGCCTGCTTGTGTACCGAACCCGGCCTGTTATACCACAAATTTGCCTGCTGTTTTAGCTACTGGACAATTCGCCTGATCCCAGATCGTGACAGAAGGTTTAGAACTTCTGGCATTGTTTTTACTGCTGGCAAAAAAAAAGTTTATTACCGCTCCCAAGCTGGGTCGCTCCTTTGTTTTTACTGCTGCCTGTGTTTTCCTGGTAAACCCCCCCCCCATTTTTGTCTTGGTGTCACAGAGACAAAAAATGGGGCACATCTCTTTCGTAGGATCAAAGCCCAGGTTTTAAGATTCCCACACTCTACAAAATTGGAGTTAGGCTTTAAATAATATGGCCTACCATGCACTTCAGCAGTGTTGTGTTTGCTGAATGAACTGCAGGTTCTGCATGTGCTATATCTATCTTTCCTCCTTTGTCAGATATAAAAACAAGGACCCTTTTAAGCACCATCGTTTTTAGTCGGAATGCAGTTTTTTTTCCATGCTCTTCATCTTACTACCTTCATTATTTAAACAAAACAGACGGACCTCATAAGTATTGATGGTATAAGGCATATGTTTTCAAGCATACAGACACATACAATGGCCAACATGTGTGAAAAGGGCAACTCTAAGTTTTGTTAAGCAGATTGTTCTCTTTCTTCAAAGCTGAGATGAAAGTGTATGTGAATGCTAAAGGTTCCAAATTGTTCAGTTCACTATACATTCACATATTGTAATCAACACTCATTGCTTATAAGAAAACAATCTCTTTAAATACATGATTTTGTCATTTATAAAGTGGTAATGGGACCACTATTTGATGTTCTCTCCACCACTAGTAAGGGTACAGGGTAGAGAATTGTTCTGATGACCAGCAGCTTCCAAGTCACATCAAGAGAGAGCACTTTTGTTCCATGGAGATGGCTCTGGCACCTTCATGTTGTTACAAAGTTAGAGGGATGATTGCCATCCTTGAGCACTATCTGCCTTCAGCGATTTAGCAAAGACATAGTCAGATCAGCTGTCATTCAATTGGAAAAGGGTAGGGCTATAGACATGTCTTTCAGGAAATGATGGCATGAGGAAGGATGACATGATCAACAGGCATTTTTTGATCTTTTAAAATAAAAACAATATACGGCAACTAAAAACAACATACAAGGCCTTCCACAACTCTACACCAAGCTACATCACCAGACTCATCTCAAAATATCACCCAAACTGTCTTCTCTGCTCCTCCCATGACCTCCTGCTCTCCAGCCATCCAGTCATCTCCTCCCATGCTGACTTCTCCAGAGCCTCGGCCTTACTCTGGAACTCCCAAGCCCAATTTGTCTGCCTATCTCCTACTCTTTAGGCGATCCCTGAAAACTCATCTATTCTTGGAAGCCTTTCCTGACTCCATCTAAAAACAGCACTTTTATTTTCTCCATCAGCTCATTAACAGTTATTACCTTGTTTATCACCACTTGCCCTTTCCTTTAGATTGTAAGATCTCATGAGCAGGACCCTCCTAACTCTCCTGTATTGAATTGTATTGTAACTGTGCGGTCTCTTTATTTTGTAAAACACTGTGCAAACTGTTGGTGCTATGTAGGTTCTACGAAATCGCAAAAAACTACCATAGCCAAAATTGGCCATAGGCGACGTTTTAAAAGATTTGACCGCTCATCAGTGTTATCAGTGATTGATGGCCCTAGAATTATTGCTCTCACTGAGACGTTCGTGGTGATATGTAACATGTGCGGCATAATTGGAGCAATCGTCGTTTTAGCGTGTAGGCGCACCCAACGTATTTTTGTGCATCTATGTGGGGGACTTAACATTTTGTGGGTTTTTTTGTGTGTGTGTGTGTGTAAAAAAAAATTATTTTGTGAGCAATTTTTTTTTTTTTTTACCTTTTTTTTTTTAACTTAACTTTATTGTTATCACATAGGGGGGGTAAGAAGTCCCTCATGTGATAACAAATAACAGTGACAGGTCCCCTTTATGGAGACATCAGGGGTCTCTAAGACCCCGAATGTCACCTAAGGTCCCCCAGAGAAGCTGATGAAGCACAGATCACTTCCTGCATTCAGAGACCGGGGAGGAGGGCGGAGGGAGATTGTTTACTGAACTCCCTCCGTTCTCAGTGCACAGAGCCACATCGCCCAGGATGGATGGAAGCCCGGGGTGCGCGCGAGCAGGAGCGAAGGACGTCTAAAGACGCCCACCCGCATCCAGGAGACTCCTGTCCGGCCGTCTTTCAACCTTCGGCGGACGGGAGGTGGTTAAAGTTCGAAAAGCGCTTTTAACTGCCCAACACGAGAAATCCCACGATTTTCAATGGCCCTGGTTCACACCTGAGCAGAAATGCCTGAAAAGATACAGGAGCTTCTTTGGGCAGTTAAAAGCACTTTTCCTCCCCATAGAATTAATTAGAAATGCACAAAAACGCACAACAGAAGCATGTTGCACATTTTCGTGAGCCTTTTTTGAACGTTTATATGCGCGTTCTTCCATTGACCACAATGGTTTATGAGCTGCCAATCAAAACGCGCGTCTTCATGTATGCGCGGTAAAACACGCATACAAAATGTGCACAACACGCAAATAACCGCATGCTGCTAACGCGAGTACAAACACGCAAAACAGTAGACATGTGCACTGCCAAAAAATTTGTTTCGTTTTAAATTCGGATTTGTGTTATTTAGTTTTTCGGGATTCGGGAGTGAAAGTCAATTCGGATTCGGAATTCGGATTCGAACAAAATTCGGTAGCGGTAGGTCATTCGAACGTTCGTTTCGTTTTCGTTTCTTATCCGTTTCGTTCATTCGTTTGTTCGTTTGCAGCAAAGTGACTTTTGAGGGGAAAATGTTTTTCTTCAACGAAGGAAACGAATAAGAAACGAAAACGAAACGTTCGAACGAACTACCGCTACCGAATTTCGGAAACGGAAATTCGGATTCGTTTGCATTCGTTATATCTGTAATTCGGAATTCGGATACATCCGAATGTCCGAATTTCCGAAAATTCGTCCGAATTTCGATTCGTAACTAAACGAATCGCACATGTCTACAAAACAGTGCTGCCTAGGTGTGAACCAGGGCTTACAGTTGATTTCCTATAGAAAGCAACCACAACGTAGAAAAAAGTCTGTACTCTGTCAGCAAGCTGCTTCCTCTGTGTTAAGCAGTGGTCTCTCTGTAAAGGTCCGCTACCCTGCTGAGTACTAGACCTCTACAATCTGCAGGGAGCATGAGCATTGCTGATTGGCTGAAGGTGTCAAGTTTTTGATTGGCATATTATGTGATCTCCACCTGCAGGGAAAGTATGGAAATTATTACTTGGTTGTATTTTTAGTGATTTTCTTATTGTAAAGCAATGCTTTTTTCTAAGAGCCGACGTCTTCTTTAAATAGGCCCGTTGCACACCTCAACATTCTGTTCTTGTTCACAGTCTGACGGAACGATATTGGCGATAGTACTGCTGATCTTGTTTCTCCTCCTGGTTCTGGCTCTGATGTGGTGGTTCTGGCCCCTGTGCTGTACCGTGGTAAGTCTCACATGTCATCATCTCCGTGTGTTCATGGAACCTGGCGTGACCCGGCCTTGTGGAATGTGTTTAACCTCACTTGTTTTTCTGCATCCAGAGTTTTAATATCACTGCGCTTCTTGTGTATATAAGCAGCATCTTCTGTTTGTGGATCACAGTCATGACCTGAAAAGCTCTCTGTATACACATGCAGTAAACCACATCATCAATATAAACTTCTATTGCTATTAAAAGAATGTGTATACATTACAATGGCAGGCCGGCCTTCCAAAGTGGTTCCTTGCTTAGATATCTTATGTATCTCTGGACTCAAATGGTACCTTCAGAATTTACTTGTATGTATAAATTAAAGTGTATCTATAGCCAACATTTTAGACAGAGTAGGGAATGGATAAACCCCTTGTCAGTTTTTTTGTGTGTCCTCGTCCTGTGACAGGGTTTTCTCTACACTTTCTGTCTAAGAGACACAAGAAGAAGTCTCTCCAACATGAGGGAAATTGACTTTGGGACAGTTGTCACCAGGCAGAAATTATCAAATGGCCATCTAATTTCCTCAATGGTCTGGAGTACCTGGTACAGTCAAAAGATAACAATTGAGAACAGGAACTTGCTTTAGACCTCAAGCAGACAGGTGCATGAAGCAGTTGAACCTAAATTGTGTTCTTATTTCCACTCCCGAGATAACCAGCTGCATTGTACATCTGCCCATAGTAGTGAATGGATGTAGGCATTTTTATGTGGGTTTATGCCGCTACTTGTGTACACCCAATCCTGCGTAAAGCCATACACCCCTGGACGCCATGCACATGTGGGGGTTTTCACAAGTAGTGGCATGAACCCACATACAGCCACCTACACCCATTCACTTCTATGGGTGGCTGTATGATGCAGTGGTTATCTAGGGCGTGGAAAAGCACCCACAGTTTATGTGCAATAACCTCATGCGCCCGTGTGCATGGTTCCTATGTCTTCCAGCCCACTAATTTAAACACATGTTTCTAAGCTGTTATAAACTGACTTAAACACTTTAGAGTCTGTGCTGTGACTTTGAGAATGAAATGCTTCAAACTGCATCCAGCTAGAGAGATCAGCTATTGTTTGTTTAAGGGCTCATTCACCTGAATGTGCACAACCATACAACCTATGCAGAAACCTTCACCACCAGGAGGGACAACTGCTGCATTTAGTTATGTGCAGCTGCCTTTGCAACTCAATGGCAGGATGCAGCTACACATGACTACATACCAACCTGAACTTGCACATCTGTACAGATACAGATGTATGCCCTTGGACACAGACAGATGCAGATTTCCAAGGGCATGCATCTGTACCTGTACGAGGGTGCAAGTTCAGGTTGGCACGTAAAAGCGTGCAGCCACGTCCTGTCATTAAAATGCACTCAGGGACCAACTGTCCCTGCTGGGTGTAGGTTTCTGCATGGACATGCACACTGTATGGCTGTGCACATCTATGTGAAACCTTAAGCTCTCTTACAGCTTATTAAGATTATAGAAATACTTTATCCATAGCCTGGGTGCAACTAGATCAGTAGATCCAGAGATACAAACAGATGATGTGACAAATCTTGACTTTCCTTGTAAGTCACTCTCGACCCTACCCCTTCCCATCTCCGAGTCTCCCTATTGGCCACTAAGGCTACCCATCACTTTGGAAGACAAATGGGCAAGCTTGGAAAGTGGGTGGTAAATTTACATTGACTTTTTGCAGGAAAAGTCGAGATTTGCATATAAATTTAGCAACCTATGTCACTGGATCTACCAGCAGTCACTGATGGTAATGTCTGTTTATGTAAATTTTTTATCATGTTTTAATTTTAAATCACCCAGGTTTGTGATATGTTTACTTTCAGCATAGTGCCATGGCCTCCTGGACTGCATTAGCATTTCATTTAAAAATTTAGACAAACAACTACACAAAAGTAATCTGTGATAATTCTAGTGGCCCTTTAAGAATTGGCTATAGCTCATTAGCTGTGATTTTGTTCATTGCAGTATTTAATTACCCGGCTCTAGGCTGTGCTGATGCAATAAAAAGTTCCTGGAAAGCTAGAGGGAGAGAGATTCAGAGAGCTGGCCAGATGTTGGATTCCAGGGCCAAGCTGAGTGATTGGTGAGGTAATCCAGCCATGTCACTGGGGAATATCTTGAATGGCTATCCAGAGAGGTTGTGAGCAAATGGCACCAGCCCTGGAGCCCTGTCCTTCTATGCATACGTGGATTAGTGTGCGTGCATGGGTGTGCCACCAACATATGTTACATATTTGACACAATTTATGGAAACTTTTTTTTTTCATTTAGTGAAATACAAAATACATTTTTTTTAAATGAGCTGATGAGTGACTTTCAAGGAATACACAAAAGTATAAGTTCCCCATTCAGTGGCCCCTTTAAGATTAGCTCACCGCTTCCTTCCTCCCCCTTCACAGCTGAATACTTATCGAGTTCCGACCCGGCCTCTGTTGTTTGTTACATCCTGCAGTGAATACCTCCTTCTCCTGGCCAACAATACTCAGTACGCAGTACATCTCCATTGACTTCTATGGGGCTTGTCTCCCGGCTGGGAAATGAGCCCCATAGACGTCAATGGTGATCTACTGGAACCAGGAGACTGGCCTGGAGAAGGTGATGTCCGTTGCAGAATGCCCACAAACAACTAGGGCCTGTCAGAACTCGGTAAGTTTCCATCTCTGTATGGGGAGGGAGCAGTGATGTCATCTTAAAGGGGCCAAAGGATAAGTTTACTTTGTTTTAAAGTGTACACACTTTAAAACTGAACCCTGCGATAGGGTAAGAAACTCATCATTAGGCCTTTTTTCACATGGGCAGCAAAGGGACAGTAAAAGCAGGCGGTTGAGCCACATTTTTACCAATCCCTCCTCCCCTCCCGACTGCCCACCTAAAACATAGCAAGCTGGCCACTTGGGTTTGTACACATGCCATAACCACAATGCTTTGTTTTATGGCCATGGCAAATGTTATACTTTGCTAAACATGATCAATACAGTTAATGGGACTGCAATGGGACCACGTGCCAATCGGTATTGCAATGCAAAATCCCGCTACGAGATAAAAATAAGAAAAAGCACGCATTTAACAGTGAGTAAAAGTTTCTGACCAGGGTTCAACTTTAAATAATGTTTGCGACTTGAGAAATGTTCTGTTATGTATACAAGATAAACTTTACTGTTTGTGTTTAGTTTTCTATATTTGTTGCCTTTCAGATTATCAAAGCACCTCCCCCACCTCCAGAAGAGGACAGCGAGGTAGGACATATTTGTATTACCTTAATTCTGGGCTGTTTTTAGTTCATGTTTCCCCCCCCCCCTCTCCAGGTTAATGGGACTATACATGAGGGTCATTATTTGTGTTTTACAATTAATAATAAAAGCCGCGCTGTGTGAATGAATCTACAAAAGTGTCAGATATAGTAGATACTGGCCGTGAAATAATGTGATACAATGTGTAAAAAGTGCGAAACACAGAAGAAACACATGTGTATAACATGCACCTCAGTGTAAATACATTGCTACAAAATATCCATAATGAAAAATCAAATACAATAGATAATAGCTGTGAAATAATGTGAAAAGGATAACAACTAGAAAAAACGCATGTGTATAACATGCACTTCAGTGAAAATAATAAATGGTTAAAAAAAGTCCATGATCCTGGATCTTCAATAGTCCATTAAGAAAATAGAAGATAAAACAGTGGATGTAAAATAATCTCAGTCTCCTGTGAACATCAACAGAGAAATCTTCTGGAATGCACCTCACCTTTAGCAGAGACCCACCAGGGTCTGTATGTGCTCTTCCTCTAATTCAAACCAGGTAGAGGAAGCACCTGATGCCGAACACCTCCTCTCAGGTACAGACTCTCATTGCAGTCTCAGGAGTTGAAAGCAGTCAATTCATCCAAATGGCCCATGCATCAAACAAAAAGTGGAAACTCGTAGTGCAGATGGTTTTAAAACGATACAAAACTTTATTAAAAAGGATACTACTCACATATCATAGATAAAAGTAAGGTTTTTAGTAAGCAGCCACAGACACTGTGTGCAATAGCTCAGCTCCTATACTCCACCCTACGTACGCTACGTCAAGGAGCGTGACTTCATCAGGGGTGTGGAGACAGGAGCTAGACCGAGCGCATATATTAAGACCAGTTGTCATGGTAGCAACCATATACAAATGGCGGCCATGACATTTTCAAAAATAAAACAGCATGCTAAACATATTACAACTGAGAGTAAAATACAAAAAAGTGATTGACACTGTGGCACTTATTACCCTTCATCCAGCTAAGTGGGTAAAGCATTAAAGCATACAGCACAAGGTAAGTGGAAAATAAGTAATCTAACAAATAAAACAAAACTATAAACCAACTCAGTAAAAGCCTGTTAAAGAAGACAGGGTGATACATGAATGGTAAAATCTTACTATTGCTGTAGTATACCATATTGCTTCCTGTTATTAATTGCATGCCATGTGAGAAAACCTCAAGAAGGAATACTATGAGGGATACTATTTGTGTTTTACCTCTGACCTGAGCTTGCAAAACAATTCTGGGAGAAACGCAGTGTTTGAATTGGATCTTCTGCAATGGTATATTGTATTATTGCATTAAATGCAACTTACTCTGATGTACAGAGACAATGCTTCCAGCTACATCGAATCAGCATGCTAAACATATTACAACTGAGAGTAAAATACAAAAAAGTGATTGACACTGTGGCACTTATTACCCTTCATCCAGCTAAGTGGGTAAAGCATTAAAGCATACAGCACAAGGTAAGTGGAAAATAAGTAATCTAACAAATAAAACAAAACTATAAACCAACTCAGTAAAAGCCTGTTAAAGAAGACAGGGTGATACATGAATGGTAAAATCTTACTATTGCTGTAGTATACCATATTGCTTCCTGTTATTAATTGCATGCCATGTGAGAAAACCTCAAGAAGGAATACTATGAGGGATACTATTTGTGTTTTACCTCTGACCTGAGCTTGCAAAACAATTCTGGGAGAAACGCAGTGTTTGAATTGGATCTTCTGCAATGGTATATTGTATTATTGCATTAAATGCAACTTACTCTGATGTACAGAGACAATGCTTCCAGCTACATCGAACATGCTTGCGAATTGTGTATGATCGTTTGATATTCTTAACCCTTGCTTGCTATATATATATATATATATATTTGGCAGCACAGCATTGCGCCATGCCACCACACATATTCGTACCACCTGTCTGTTAGTAGCTCACTCAATTGCATGCCCCTATTGCTGTAACTGCAGTTCACTGTCACCTAGCATCACACTCCTGTTTACATGATCACTGTGACAGCCAATCACAGTGATCACATGATCGGAATTTTGAAATACTGCCCAGCAAACAGATGATGGTTCTCCGGCATTGCCATCCACTTAAAGGGCCAGGGGGCATTGAAAAGGGGCCAAAGTAAAGCTCAAGATAATGCAGGATAAGATAAAGACAGCAGGTATGTGCAGTAACAGCCAATCAGTTTTCAGCTGTCTTTAATTTACAAGAACTTGAAACAATCACATTACTGTATGCTCTATGCTTTGCATCAATAACAGTTACATGTACATGGTACATTGGGTCTTTATGAAATAGTACAGGTGTAACAATGTGACATCTTATCTTTTATTCTTATGCTGCTGCTATGCTTTTTTGGGGCATGTGGTGGGGTAGAAAATGAGATTATTTTTACTTCTGCTTTTTACTTTTTTTTTTTTTTACTTTTATAAAGTTCGCTATATTTCACATTTTTAACTGTTTCCTGTACAAATTTGGCACTTGCACTCTATTATCAAGTTTACACCAAAGACAAGAACTCTGGATGCTAATAACATAACTACTTTTACATGATACATTGAGTCTGGCCACAATGGTGTCTGGCGCATAAATTACAGCCATGCCTTCAATATGAAAGCCAAGCCTAATACTTAATCTGATCTAAATCAACCCTATGCCTTAAAGTGACACTCAACTTGGTCGTTAAAGCTTAAAAATGCATTCAAGTAACTTAAAGTGACATTAAAGGCAAAAACTTTTTCCCCCTTCCCCCAATGTTAATTAAAGCACTTACCTTAGATGATGTCTCTTAATCCGATCTTCCTATGGAAGGAAATGGGGATTGAATAATTGACGCAAATTTATGATCAGGGTATTCTGTGCCCGTTTCAACAGTTACAGGCAAGTTATTCGCTACCGAATGCTCAATTTTATAAATATCTGCAACTAAGGCATGCTCTCACGGCACATGCAGGTGTACGTGAGGTCTGTATTAATGTAAATGCGGTTATAGATAAATTCTTTGATACAACAGTGACGAGAGGTTTGATCTCAAAGATGTATGCAAATGTATTACCTGGGGTCCTGAATAAATCTCCCATGAAATGTAAAGTGGGCTGGGAAATGGACTTGGGGCCTCTGGATGAAGCCCTCTGGAGGGAGGCATTGCTGTCAATCCAATTAGTTTCACCATCTGCATCGCATAAATTGACGCAGCTTTATATTGTACATAGAACATATCGGACCCCTGAATTCCTACATAGGATAGGATTCAGGGAAAATTCTAAATGTCCAAAGTGTGGGGTTGAACCTGGTTCGTTAATACATCTGCTATGGCGATGCCCGAAGCTGAAACGATATTGGCAGGAAATAGTGGACATAATAAATATAGCCTTTGGAGTCCATATTTCTAATAATCCCTTGTTATGTATCCTGGGTATTTTTGGACCAATAAAGGTGGAATATTACACAAAGGTGGCAATAACGAGGGTTCTATTTGTAGCTCGGCGTAGTATAGCCCTTGGGTGGATTTCAGCAGCGCCTCCCACAGTAGAGGAGTGGAAGAAAGAACTAGATAAAGTGGTTAGATCTGAGGGAATTATGCCCAAGCACAGAGGTACTATGGACAAATATGGTAAAATGTGGGATAAGTGGATTGAATAGGGTAAAGGACCCTGGGTATAATATCTCTCGTATAATATCTCTCCTATTTATTATTGGTATTTTGAGGAGTAACGTGGCTTAAGAAATATGGTATGTTGAGAGGAAAATTAATTTTATAAAAAGAGAGGGCTTTTTTTTCTATTTGCTTTGTTTTGTGGGTCTGTACGTATTTTCATCTGATTTGTATTGATGTTTTAATATGTAACTATGTATAAGTATGTCTTATGTATTATATTATTAAAATAAAAAAAAGTATTGAATTAAAAAAAAAAGTATATCTACACCCGAAAACAAAATATGTGCAGTTTACCGATCCGTAGATGTGGTGGCTGCATTCTTCTTCTTTATTATTTTGTTTCCTTTATTTGTATCTGGCGATCCGGTCAGTAAGCAACAGAGACACCCCTGAGCAGCAGCTAGTCAACCTGTGGAGAGGGTGGTGTTAGGTGGACTAGCAAACTTAGATGAACAAATAAAAGCCAAACTCCAGCTAACACTTGTTAAGCAGTTACAACAACAATTTTGGTTTTCCTTTTGGGATTAGGGTTTTTATATAAATGAATAAAAGCTGACCATTGTTAAATGGTTTGTCTCAACCCTCTATCCGCCACCTTTCCTGGCCAACTCGGTCTTTTAAAGGCAGTGGATAAAATAACAGATTTATAACAGATCACCAGGTGAAAATAAAGGAAAAACAGAAAACAAATGCAGTCACCACATTTAAGAATTGTTAAGCTGTTATATATTACATTTGTGCTTTTGGGTTTAGATACACTTTAACCCTCAGACTAATGTTACAATGACCCCAAAATTAGCTAAAACTGAATACTGTGTTACCAAGAGCTAAAGTACCTTGAGCCGAATCCGTACAGGCCCTTTGCAAAGATTTTGCAATGCTGCAATCTTGGCACTAATATGAAATAATCAAGAGGCATATAACACAGACCATAGAATGGCAGATCTGACTTTTTACCCTCTTGGGGCACTACTTTTTTTTGCTTTTGCAGCAGGAAACCTGCTCATTTTTTCTCATAATTAAGACTCTTCACTAAAATTGGAATTTATTTGGCTTTCTCTAAATGAATGGTGTGGAGTTCCTGCTCTACAAAGGAGTTTGTGGTTATATTAGGTTCCTAGCCTTTCACTGCCAGGGAATATCTAATAACTTAAGTCAAGCATAAAACTACTTCTAATGTATACAGACTAGTACACCAAATCATAGTAAAACACTTACTTAGAAAACATCCAAGCATTCTTCTTAATGCTGGCTCCTTAACATATA